AACTTAATCATGTTTAAGCTAATTAATCGAGATTAGTTTAAGATAATCATAATTAGCTTAATGTTAATTAAGATTAATTAACATTAATGAGGATTAATTAAGGGATAATTATGCTTAAAGTGTTAATGAGCAAGTCATTCAGTCTATTAATATAAATCATGTTTTAGTTCCGATATAATAACATTGTTGATTGTTATTTTCGGAATGAGTCATTTTCAGTCGCAAATACCGAAATCTATTGTCGACGTATCGTTTACGTTCGAAATAATTTTGGTAATTAAGTACTATGTTTAATTAAGTAATTAAACATATTTTAATGATTAGTGAGCAATTAATCACAATTAAGTGATTAAGTCGTGACTTATTTGAAAGTTTCCCAAATTACTTCATTTGCCGTAAGATATTGCAAGTTTGGGAAAGTTAAATGGTTCTCTTTTCTTTAAGCTTTGAACGTGTCAATTTGTGAGGAAAATTGGGATGATTCATCATGCCTTAACCAATAAGGGTTGAGCAATTGTTAAGCTTGTAACAAACCAACCATGCACCTCATCATTCCAAATAATTTCCTTCCCTCGGTTTGAGAAGAATGAGAGGGGGTGAACCGAATTTTCCCACTTTTTCATAGATAACAAGTTCAGCAAACCGAGAGCTGAGTACAGAGGGTGAGAGAGATCGAATTCCTTAATCAAGCAAGAAGATATCCTCCGCATCGCCACACCGTTACCGCACGGCAAGTCGTGCGCACCGGAGCCAAGGATGTGGCGATCAGTTGGGGCGATTTGATTGAGAATTTCACAGGTACATCCTCCCTTTTCAGTCCATTAGTCCATTTCGGGATGAAGTGTGCAGTTCAAGTTTCGAAATTCCAGATTATGTCATGCTAGCCTCGGTTTAGGCCGTAATAGTTCGGGACCGGATAAACTCCTGATTTTCCCACAATTCATGTTCATTATAGGAATTATTTGATGAAATAAGCTCTATTGAGTTGAGTAATATGAGTTCAGGGTCAGAATTTTATTGAGTTAGTTCGGTTTCAGTCGAGGTCTCGGTCATGGCTGGTGGCCGTCCGGCCATGTGCATGTCCGCGTACATACCGTGTGTAGGTGTGTGTGCTCGTATGTAGAATTGAGTCAAGGAATCAGGTTTATTTCTGATATTTGTCAGTAATCAGACCTTAATTAACTTAATTATGTGATATCATGTTAGTAATAAAGGTCTTGTTCATGTTTAGGCTTTGCGCCGTTCGGCCGTGTGCACCCGAGTGTGTATGGCTGCGGTTAGAATTCATAACAGGTTGTCTTGATTAATTCAGCAACTCTTTGGTAAATCAGACTCAATTTGGCTTAGTTATGTGATGACATGTTCAATTATTTGTGTTTATTGATATATAATTATGTTAGTCGGACGTCCGGCCGAGAGGGTGGCCGCGCCTATCGCGCGTGACCGCGGGCCGCATTGGGTTAAGGTATAGTTGCACTTATGAACAGGTTATGTTGTGTATGTCATTACTACAACCTTAAAGTATTGATTATGTGATTAAGTGTTCAAGAGTATTAAGAGGCTGAAGTTTTGTTTGAGTCGGTCGGTAATCGGCCGAGTAGAAAGCGGCGCACATCGCGCATGTCCCGAACTATCGGTTATTATGTTCTATTGCTAAAAATTTTGGTCTCGGTCGTTCATTCACGTCAGGTTTTAATAGTTTAAGAAGGTTATTTATATGTAACTGTTAAGGTGTTGGCCGTGAGGTATAAAAAGGTCGGGCATCGGCCCATCGTCATTGGCAGCACACGATGTGTCCGCCACGGGCCTATCCCGGTTAATTGAGTAAAAGTGATAATTTTAAGTCCCAGTTTATGTTCAAGACCCAATTTCAGTTAAATTCCGGGTTCAAACCAGTTCATTAAATTCATGTCAGTCTAATTCCGAGTTTAGTCAGCTCCGGTGTTACCGGTTAAGTTCAGACATCATGTTTAAGTCTAGTAGAGCATCTTAACATATTAATCAGCTATTTTTTTATTAGTCTGAGCATAGTATTTAGTAAATGTTTATATTATTTTCAGTTTGATCAAGATGCAGATATCAGCACTTACATTTTCAGATCAGCAGTTCAGGTGGGGACTCAGA